TCTAGTGAATATCGGAGTGACAGCCATGAAAGACATTTACATCCAACAGTGTAGGGTTAAAACAACAGAGACATGGCACTTGAGTTGAATTGGTCTAGATGCCTACTGTGTCCCTTTAAGTGGAGTGTGCAGGGCCGTCTTTAATATTGATTGGACCCTGGGCAAGCATTTGCTTGGGCCCCCTATACCTGCACTTCCCCACTCCCCCGTGCCCCCCCATTCTCAACCCCCAGCTCCCTGGCATGCAATCAGGGCCTCCACCCCAACCTACTGATAGAACTAATGTAGAGAGGGCTGTGGTGCAAGAATTGTTTTCTCTCCAATAGCGCAAGAGTGGAGAAAAGTTAGAAACCCATCTGTCGTACAACTTCCACGATGGGGATCCACCGTTTGGCCATTCTTGTAGGGTTGTATTTGTGAGCAGTGTTTGTGAATTTGAATGTAAGCATGTTTTTGTATAGAGTATATGTGTGCATATAGGGGTGTATTTGTATATACTGTTACTATTGGAATGCAGCTGTGTACTTTTGTATAGTGTTTGTGTTTGAATGCAGGGGTGTGTGTTTGTATGTAGTGTTGGCTTTTAAATGAAGTTGTGCTTTTGTGTATTGAGTTGGCGTTTGTATATAATTTTAGTGTTTTATGTAACATTTGTAATTGCATGCAGGGGTGTGTGTGGATGTAGGGTTGTCTTTTAAATGCAGATGTACATTTGTGCGTAGTTTAGTGAGTGAAGGGTGTGTTTGTATACAATTTTGGAGTTTGTATTAGGGTGTATTAGGGTGTGTTTGTATGTAATGATTGTGTTTGCTGTGGTGTGTTTGATTGCCTGGATATATGCACATACATACATACACAGACACATATAGCCAGATACACACACTGACACACACAGCCAGATACACAGACTGACACAAACACAGACAGATACACACACAGCTAGATACACAGCCAGATATACACACAGCTAGGTACACTCACAGCCAGGTACAAACACTCACAGTCAGGTACACACACACACACACACATACAGCCAGATACACACACTGACATACACACAGCCAGATATACACACATAATCAGATATACACACATAGTCAGATATACACACACACACACATAGCCAGATAAACACACACACACAGCCAGATAAACACACACACATATAGCCAGATAAACACACACACACAGCCAGATAAACACACACACATATAGCCAGATAAACACACACACATAGCCAGATAAACACACACATATGCCCAGATGCACTCACTCAGACCCAGGTACACACACATATATCAAGTTACATCATGTTTTAGCAACCCTCTTGTCTCCTTACCTTTTGGGTACAGAAGGGTGGCTTCCCTGGGGTCCAGTGGGAGCTGGAGGGCCAAGGCTGATGAGAGTCTGTCCTCAGTCCCTTTTCTCCTCCTGTGTATACCTCCTCTACCTCCCCAGCGGCACTCTGTTACTAGTGAGGTGAGATCACTTCCTCCCAGCAGGCAACATCAAAGGGGCCAAGGCCGAGCACTCTTAAAGGGCTGAGGGCCCTTAATTACATCAGGTGCTGCAGTCCACAGGATTTGGACCCCAGCAGGGGGCCCACAGAGCAGCTACTTTGGGCCCCCCAGGAGTAACTGGGCCCGGGGCAGCTGCCCCTTTTGCCCCCCTTTAATCCCTTAAGGACCAAACTTCTGGAATAAAAAGGAATCATTACGGAATATTTCCGTCATGTGTCCTTAAGGGGTTAAAGACGGCCTTGGGAGTGTGAGTGATTTTACTGTACATAGAGATTGACATATTATTGTGATAAAGCAAGAGGAAGAGTCATGTTTGTACAGACCTCAGTTGTACCATGAATCTCTCTCTCCAGAACAGGACAATAATGTTTTATGACCACTAAATATGTAATGCACTATCTACCAAGGACTGACACCAAGTATTGTCCACTTATTTGAAATATCGGTGCCAAAGGGCTGGGGTGCAGTGCCATCTTGAAAGTAGTTTGCAAGAATCTTGTGTGTCCCATTGGTAATGAAACACTGATTTGCCAGAGAAGATATTCTAGTTCCTGTGTCCACGAACGCATAGTTAAACTTTTTCTCCCTGTCTGCCATGTAATATAGGGGGAAATGTGCAGAGTGAGAGGTCACATAACGTATTATCTACAGAGAAGAGAAATTCCATGATTTGGAACCTTTGTTAACTACACAAGGTTTTCAGAAAAAGGGTGGTGAGATGAGTAACCTGAAGACGCATTAATAGCAGGTGTAGTTGGGTGAGCAACCAGGGTTAAGGAAAATGGATTGAGAAGAAATGTGACTTAATTAATTGCTTGACTTTGAGACAATCCCACGGAAAGGCAAGGTGTCTCTGTGGTCTCAGATGAGTAAAGAACAATGAGAGATCTTTTAGTGGCAAAATATGGTGTGAGAATGAACTAGGGATCATAATTCAGTATCTGTAGCCCCTCAACCAATTGTGGTTTAAATATCGGGGTATGCGGATGTTGGGTTATGTTGGTGTTAGGGTGTGTATCAGAGTGGAAAGCAGCCACAGCAGTGAGGTAAGAGCGATGTACATTCCAATTGTTCAAGGGGATCCAAAATTTATGGCGTGGTGGCATGCTCCACTAGACATGATACAGGAAGTGCAGTGCATGGTAGTAAAATAAAAGGTTTGATAGACCTTTTCATGAGCAGTTATGATGGAATATTTTATTCAAAGTGGATCTTCCACATAACATGATCATCTTCTGGGTCTAGGCAATACAGGTCAGTGGAGCATGAATGGGGAGCAAACTGAATTAGGAAACATGGTCTGAGGAGTACGTTCATCACAATTAGTTATCCTTCCAGATAGCGGAACCTGAATTTAGAGGAGTTAAATTCCTGTGTCATTTTATCACTCGTTTCTTCCACATTTTGTCTTCCATTGTTTATTCCCCCCTTCCTATTCCTTTTGCCTGTTATATTTGAAATTCCTCAATCTCTCTCCCCTTTTTAGTTTCGCCCCTTTGATTATCTTCCTTTTGATTCTTCTCTTCTTACACCATCTCACCACTCCCCCACCCCCCCCTGCCCATTATAATCTCCTCAATCCATTTCCTCATTTTATTGCACCCTTCTTAATATCTACTGTTTCACTTTTACTTCTTGGTGCCATTTCCTTTACATAGGTTCCTCTTCTCAATCCATCTTTCTTCTTAATGTTTATGTCTCGTTTGTCCATGTCATATTACCTATTCTTATTTCTATTATTCAAGCCTATTTTTTTTTCTTTTAATGTAGCAATAGTTTCAGTCCAGACAAGAATCCTTCAGGCAACAGTGATATTCACAATGTAGCAACTATCTATCCACTATCTACCTTTCTGGTTACACACGTGGCATTCAGCAAACGTTGAGGAGACATATCACTGCTTCAATGCAAAGACATCCAACGGCAGAAAGGGAAGAATTGAGAATTTTCTTCGGACTTGATGGGACACCGTAACCAGCTGACAATAGTCTTATGACCAGCACCATCAACAAAAACAGGATAAAATGCAAAAATAAAATGCCTGGGAACTGTAAATAAGGGCCTAGCAATTTTCATGCACCCGAGGGCCACCATTTGCACAGCCCTGAACTACATACCTCGTCTGTAACACTAGTTGAAAAAGTTAGGTATGGATATTTTAAGAAATCCCTGTATACAATGGACGCAATTGCAGTTTTCATAGAATGTCAGGACTAAGAACTAGGAAACGTTTTATTTATTTTACTAAGTAAAGCCAATCCACTTTGAAACAACTTTGTGATTTGTGTAAGGCATCTGGATTGACTCTAAAACCTATATGTTTGCTAAACGGTTTTCTTGGCAAATTTATCACAAATAAATAAATGTAATGAATTTAGAGTGACATTTTGGACAATATAAAATATGTTCGCTTTGGTTTACAGTAATTTATCAGCCTTTTATTTCCCTCGAAGTCTCTTCAAGTGGTCTCTTTTGTCTGACCTCAGAATTCTCATCTCCTATTGTGTGTTACATTTAGTTAGTTGTCAAGAGTCACGTAGAATGAAAATATGCTGTTTGGGATTTTTTTTCTTACACATAGATGATGCTTTGACATTTCTAAGCCGTAATACTAAGGATTAGAGTTTAATTTATTTTTTTGGCTTTGGAACTGAAATATTTTTTTAAGGACTTCACTAAATTGTTTTGGCAGGAGAAATAATATTATAGACTCTTAACCTTGGATAACTATATATGAAGACAAGTAATTATTCTTCAGTTATACTTTTTACATTTCACAGACTTTCATTAAATGTTTTAGTAGCTACAATCTAGTGTGCAGTTTATTTTAGTCATAATGAATGTAACCAGATTGCAATTTCAAAGATAAGAGGCATCAGTCACTGTTAAAAAATACTGTTTCGGAGTAATTTTTCAGCCTTGTAATTATTTTTGGCCAGATTCTAAGAGGCCAAAACCAAATATAGAAATGTGGCAAAAACCCATGCCACTATAGAACCTTGCCACAGTGTAACAATCTTTTATCTTGAGGTAGTATGTTTGTTTAAATCGAAACGCGTTGATTGCAGTGTCTAAAGTCCTACATAATTCTGTGTGAGTCTATGTATATACAGTTTTACAGCAAAGGTCAAAACACTGTCTTTAATGTATATTTACTAGATGCAAACTGCATCTGTATATATTCAAAATCAAAGAACTCGGGGGGTGGAGCTTGCTTGCAAGGGAGAGCGGACGCCATTTCATGAAGCTCCGGTCAATTGCCTGTAATTTCTCAAAAAAACCGGACACCGACTCACCTCTCAGCAACGCAAAACCCGGCATCTGCCTCCCGGTGTCCTACCGATCAGACCCACGCCATTTTTTCATACACCAAAGGTCTCCCGATCGAAACGCAGGCCTGCGGCCTACTACTTACCTCCCGGAGCTGTGCTCAGCGCGCTACTCAGTAACTCCCACGGAGTAAGATCCCCCGCTACGGAGCTCCACAATCCGACTGGGCAGGTTGGTAACGAACCGGCAATGGGAAGTCGCACCCAGAAACAGATGGCTGGGGCCGCAGCAGACACCAAGGATATTGAATCCATGCTCCAACGGCCGCCCCAAGTTAAAAAGGCGACAGAGACCCACCATGACACCTCACCAAGCCCTAGAGAGCTGTCCACCCCTACCTCACAGCCCCCAGAACCGGCAACACAGGCCTCACTAGACCTGCCCGGGGGGTGACTGACCTGGCCACAAAGCTGGACATTCAAAACTTCCTCCATGAAATTAAATAAATGCTGACAACAGACATAGCTGCAGTAAAAATGGAGGTTCAGGCTGTGACAGACCGAGTCAGAGTTACTGAAGAGGACATCATGGATCTACGCAGGGACCTTACAGCTACCCAGGATAGACTTACACAAGTCCAATCCTCCCACCAGACGCTCAACGCGCAACTAACCTCCATGGAGGATAGATACCGGAGGAACCATATTAATATCCACGGCATACCAGACACGGTTCCCTCAGAGGAAATACCCCACTATGTGAGACGCCTAGTGGCTGCGATATTACCTCCAAATGTGGCCAGGAAATTCACACTAGACGGGGCATACTGCCTTCCGAAACCCCAACGGGCCACGACGGCTATACCACGGGACGTCATAGTCCGCTGTGCTACACTACAGGATAAGGGACAATTTATTTCTGCTGTTGGGGTAAACCATCTCTCCTTTTTTCATGACCTCACCAGAGCCACACTCCAGTGGCGCAAGTCCCTCAGCATGGTAACAAGCCGGCTTAGAGACGTGGGTTTGGCCTACAGATGGAGCCGCTCGAAGACACTCCTGGTGACCCACCAAGGAACTTTATACAACCTTTCATCAGCTACAGAAGCCCCAGCATTTCTCAGTGCTCTAGGACTCCCCCCACTGACTGCTAACGAAACTCAGCCACATAATCTGCAAACTTGGGATCCGGCTACAGTTGTCCCTTTCACCCCACGAAGCACCTCTGATACCCATCGGGGAACCTGAGAGAAATGCAAAGAATCCACGCCTGGGGCCCTAATTGTTAGTGACTACTTGTTAATGCCTTTCTCTACTCTTTTTGTTTTTCTCTTGTATTTTGTTTTTATTATATTATTTTAATTTCAATGTGTGACAAGCGCTTACCTTTCCCCGCCGGTCCCGCGCAGCGCCGGGTCCTCCTCCGATCCTTCCGGGGGGCGGCTCAGCGATTCTGACGCCGGCCGCTCGGAACACGCCCACATTTATGACGCGGCGCATGCGCGCCGACGTCACACCGAAAAAGGCGCCAAAATTCAAACGTGGCCACGCTCCCGGACTTTTTGGGGGCGTGGCTACGGAATTAAAGCCAAAGAACCCACACTATAAAAGGGCAAGCATGACACTTGTCAGATGCCCTAGTGTGGTTCTTGTTTAAGTCCCCTGGTGCTATCTTTTCTTATTGTTCTTCCTGGTAATTGACCCTTGGCTTACTCTCTCTGACTATTCTGTTTTCTGGTTTCCCATCACTTGGCTTGGATAATCGTGTGCCCGTCTTCCGTATTCCCTTGACCTCTGGCTATTTCTCTTGACTATTCTCAGACGCTAGTCCGGCCATTCTAAGGTCCGGTAACCGTCTTTCTGTGGGTTTCACGCTGTGTGAAGGGGTCATTGTTGTGACTTTGGTCACTGTCGTGACACAATGATTGCCCTCGCATCTGACAGGCCCTTATCAAGAGGTACAATTCCAGTCCGCTGTACCCACCAAAATTAAAGAGAATATCTCTCCTCCCCCCCGCCAACCCCTTGGTCAGGGGCAATACACATGCTCCACTGAGCTCAGCCTGGCATAACACTACAAAGCATGATCTCCTATCGAGCATCTACCGGAGTATGCATATCAGCCATCTTGTCTAGACCAGTCTATAGCACTCTAGCACCCACACTACCATGCAGCACCCACTTGACATAACACCAAGGATTTTAGGCTAAGCATACACACACTCACTTCACAGTGATAGGTCAAGCGCCCTCCTAAATAACTGACAAGGCAGCTATTTGAATATACTCCTGCTAATACTGTGCTTGTGTCCTGACCATATATTACGCCTATTTATCTGCAACTATCTTAGCTGACCACGCGGTAGGGTCTAGAGTCTGACATGTTACATCCCATTCCGCACGAAAAGGTAGTGAATTCTATACCTGACTTCGTCATATGGCAGAATTGCAATGCTTATATATTTACGAAAAAATTGTGCAGTTCCATCAATTGTCATGACACTATTTAACTTAAATTGTTCTTGAAAGCTTGTACATGTTGTTGTGGCAGTACATGCCTGTCTGTTACTCTATGCACAGAAAAATAAAGAATTATAAAAAAAATAAAAAAATAAAAGAACTCGGTGGATACATAGAACTTCACAATATCAAAAGTGAAAGAAGTTTGGGTACTCTTGCCCCCTTGAGTATCCTCTATTATTTAGGAAGCATGGTGATGGAGTCTTCAGACCTCTGTGTTGAGGGTTAAGTCAGTTTGGCCTGTGAGCTAAAGGCATCTTTGTAAAGATGGTGTTGGGAGCACCTAGAGGAATTGATTACTGTGTTGAAGGAGGAGCGAACAGAAGAGGTGATTTTTGCCTGTCCAGTGGGTAGAGGGCAAATCCGTACCCTGAAGGATCATGGTGGTGGTCTCTTTTTCCAGTGGAGAAGGCACATATGACATAGTGGGACAGGTCTAGATCCAAAGCTGTAGAAACTTGATGTGATTTCTAGCAAACCTAGAGTGTTGAGTAGCTCTATGCCATCTGGAAGCAAAGCCATTCCTAGATTTTTTTCATGAATATAGAATCTATTGATTTTCTTTTTGGAACACTAATTAGTTGCTTTCCTTGGCCAGAATAACTTGATTACCTGTTGACGGAGTTTGTTGTGATAAGTTAAAGGACCTCCGTAGGAGCACTCAGAAGTGCAGAGAAAACAGAGGGACAAGGCTGAAAGAAGTAAGTAACATTTTGAAAATAAAGAGGGGAGAGGAGTCAGATACCATATTTCATCAAAGCAGGGTCATTATGTTATTGAGGTAGAAAGGATCCTTGCTAATTGGATGAAAAGGAAACTGAGACGTTATGAAATTTAGGCTGACTTAGTTTGATGGTTGAAAGTGCTCCAGCTCTACAAGCATGGGCAAAGTCCTAATAGTAGGCCATATTTCAAGTCATTAGAATGACTGGATTAACACAAAGACCTGAAGAAAATAGAAAGTTCAGGGAGCAATGGGAAGCCTAGCTCGAGGATGCTAAAGATGGACTGAATCGAGATAACTCACCAGTCCAAGTGGAAGGATGCTTTTTTTCCCAATGAGCCAATGTTAGATCTTCTTTTATTTGGGTATTTTGTTAAATTCAACCACTCTAAGGACCAATGGTACATGTTTTTATCCCTTGTCCTTACCTGTTTTAGTTCGGAAGCTACATTTCACATTTAATTAATCCAGTGTTTCCAGAAATAAAGTTAAAGAGTGCTTTTTCTAAACCTACATGTAAATTGTTTAGGATATTAATTATATTGAAATTAAATGTACACTATAGTAACCAAAAAACTTTAGCTTAATAAGCATCTATAGATCAAAGATTATGCCTCTGAAGTCTCACTGCTCAAGTATCTGCCATTTTTGAGTTAAACCACTTTTGTTTCTGTCTATGCAGCCCTAGCCACACCTCCCCTGGCTGTGACTGACACAGCTTGCATGAAAACAAAATGGTTTCATTGTCATTCAAATAGTAACTTACTTTATATGTTATCTTCTGCTCTGTAAATTGTACTTTAATCACACACAGGAGGCTCCTGCAAGGTCTATCAAGCTATTAATAGTGCAGCAGTTAAATTCTAATTTAAACAGAATTTGCAATAAAGGAAGGGTAAACATCCGATGACTCTATACAGGAAGTGTTTAGGAAGGCTATGCAAGTCACATGCAGGGAGGTGTGCCTAGTGCTGCATAAACAAAGTGACTTAACTTCTAAACAGCAGAGAATTGAGCAGTGAGACTGCAGGGGCATGATCTATACATCAAAACTGCTTCATTAAGCTAAAGTTGTTCAGGTGACTATAGTGTCCCTCTAATACTTGTAAAAGAACTTGGAACATAAAAAAAAAATCCTTCTAATATTAATCACATTACAATTGGCTTTTTTAAACAATACATTTTATTGAAAGATATAGGAGAATGCTTTTGGGTGCTCTGCTTTTGTAAACCAAACTCACACTTTAGATTTTATCTAATTTATTTTAACAAACTCACAACTTGCTGTTTTTTTTCTTAAATATTCACTCTCTGCTATTACAGCTTTGGCTTCAAAGGTTTTGCTGATTCCAAAGGAGATCTTTAGCTGTCTACTTTTTGGCCAGTCTTCCCGTGGCAGACAAACGCCCTACATTGGGATAGCTGGCTACAGAGAGTAACTGGACGAACCTGCATGCAATTTACTGCAGCTGACTGCTGGCATCGCAATATCCGTCAGAACAGAATGTCCTTAACTTAGTTTTAACCTCGTTCTTTTATTCACCACCCAAATTTTCAAAGCCTATGAGTTTTCGCATTGCTCTTTTCTAAGTGTATAATAAGTGACATATTGTGTAATTACAACAGCACAAAATTTCTGCACGTATCCTATCTCTTTGGCAAGTACACATTCTGGAATCGTAATATCTTTTTGGGATAGTCAAAATGCTTCCAGCTGGTTAGCCGTTATGTTCTCTGTACGTACGTAAGACAGTTGCACACTAGAAATCGCGCCTTATACATCATTTAATCCATTTATTATGTCTTATGGATATATGGAGTCAGATGTTGGCCAAGGCAAACGACAATTCTGGTTTGTGAAATACTTTGTCAAAAAATGTTTTTTGTATTTCCTTTTCTGCAAAATTACATAATTATCTGGTTCAGATTGCATTTTCACTTAGTTTTCAACATTTATTCACTATGATAGCTTGCATCTGGAGCAATAATATATCTTTAACTTTTTGCGCTAAACAAAGTGCTTTGTGGTTTTTAATTTTTTCTATTTTAACCGCTGCTCGTTCATTTTTCTTCTTTGGATGCAACATTTAACGAAGCAGGCAATCGGATCACAAATCCACAGTCGGTGCTATTTAATAAAGTGAGAATTCAAAGTGAATTCAAATAGAAATTAAAATTTAAAGCCAAAGCACCTGAAGTGTAAGGCGTTT